TTGGCATTGTACAGAAATTAACAGCCATATTGGTCTAGAAACGTTAAACTTAATTTTTTTCCATTTGTACAGGGGTAACGCACTATATTAAATATGTAAGGTCTTATCTACATGGGTTTGATTACAGAAACTAATAAAGTATTCTCTAAATAATGACTTCTAGAGCTTCTCATCCATTCTTCAAATCTGAAGCAAGAAGGTCATCATGTACCAGAAATAGTGACCAAGTGTACTGTATTTTTACGCAAATAACACAAGCCTTCTATGTTTGTTTGCCAGCCTCACCCTCCCCCGAAAGGTATTTTCGTAAGCATGGCTATGCTAATTTTTTACACCAATGTGTAAAAAAATAATTGACATGGCCACGCTTATGAAGATACCTTGTGGGGGGAGGGCACTGTTAGCAAACAAACGTAGAAGGTGCATGTTATTTGTGTAAAAATACTGTATATCGTGGTCTGTCGTGTGCTGTTGAGTCAATTCCAACTCATAGCAACCCTATAGGACAGAGTAGAACTGCCCTGTAGGGTTTCTTAGGCTGTAATCTTTACAGGAGCAGATGGCCTGGTCTTTCTCCTGCAGAGCTGCTTACTGGTGGCTTCCAGTCACCGCCCTTTTGGTTAGCAGCCAAGCACTGAACTGTTGCGCCACCAGGGCTCCTTATGTTCTAGGAAGATATTATTATCCAAAGACTTGACTTCTGACTCTCAAGAACACTAAAGCAAATTCATTCAAAGCAAGTAGTGTCAGGAGGATGATGGTCACAGCCCCTCTTAGAGTAGTCATACGTATACTAAAAACAGTCTGTCAAGGAGAAAGAAAGATCTTGATGATGCAAGGTGCTGAATGTAGAATACAGTTCCACCATTTTTCTTCTGGGCAGAAATCGAAGGACCCAAAATAGATCTCAGTACTTTATTTGTATGTTTTATATTTTTATTAGCACATTCATAGACATTATCACTTGCTCAAGAAGTCAGTAAGGCATAGTTTTATCATTTACCCAGTTTGTAAAGTGAAGTACTGAGGAATTATGATTGCCTAAAATCTCATATCCAAAACACCTGGCTTCCAAACCAAACCCACTACCGTCGAGTCAATTCTGACTCATAGCGACCCTTAGGGCAGAGTAAAACTGCCCCATAGAGTTTCCAAGGAGCGCCTGGTGGATTCGAACTGCTGACCTTTTTGTTAGCAGCCGTAGCTCTTAACCACTACGCACCAGGGTTTCCACCTGGCTTCCAGACTTTTTTTTTTTTTTTTAGGAAAACCGGTCATTCAGTCACTAATGTGTTTCATTTACTCATGTATTCTGTAATTCTGAAATACTTAAAATACTGAAGTACTGGTAAGCCCTACCTTGATCCAAGTTTTCAATCTAAAGTTTTTGTCAGAATATTCTTTAAAGTGGTATGATGGATAAGTTTGGGAACCAAAACCTGTACCATAGAGCTATAGTCACCACTTCACATATTTGCTGCCTTACCAAATCATTTCCATTGCCACTATTTTTTATATTCTAATTTTTAAGTTCAGTTCTTCTAAATTTTAGGACCTAAAATTTGACTAACTATATTGGGATACAGATTACATTATCTCCATTTGCACCACTAATTAGAATACCACTAATTCCTTGGATCCTTTGCTAGGACCTGCAATGGAAAAATGACAGCAGAAGCTTACTCAGTGAAAGTAAGATAGTCTGTTTCTCCACAGTTAGGTTATGCAGATCTTGTCTCTGGGTTCTCTGACATATACAACAAGATAAACCTAAAGATGTTGCAGCTGATAGTTGACAGTATGTTTGGCCCCATAAACTTGTGAACATGTCTCTGCCCCTTAAACTGCTCTGGTAATTTGGTGGGGTGGGGTGGCATTTTTGTCCTTTGTTAATAACAAATTGTGCTCTTCGATAGAAAAGTGATTAGGGGAGTAACGTTGGGGAATGAGAGGAGGGTGTAGTTTGAAGAGTTACTTAATTAAACAGTACAACAATACAAAATGATGTAAGTAAAGCTCCAACCAGCTCTTGGCTGGAGGCAGGATGTAGAATGAGAATGTATCATTGAAGAGTTGAGACTGTCAGAACCTAAATGTACTAGGTATGTCATTCCTAACAGGTTACCAGTGACTTCTCATGCTACTGTTGCCTCATTATGTGATAGCATCTTTGCTTTTTCAGTACTAATTTTACATTCCCCTGCCAATCTTTACCACCTATAGCCTACAGTTAACCACAGTTGACCTATTTATGGATAAACTTAAAGCTTCTTTTTTTTTTTGCATCTTAACTTGACAGACTTAAGAATTCACTGTTTTCAGACATCTTAGCCATAGTTTTTCTACTTCTGAAGTGAAATAGAAAAAGTTAGGACTAGGATGTCTTAATGTAGCACTGGTTGGTTTAACGTTTGCGTGTCGCCAAAGAGAAATGTTTCCTTGGCCCTTTTGCTTCCCCGTGAGCTGATCTCATTCACGCCTTCAGGTCTTTATGGCTGAGTGCTTTGAGAGCTCAAAGTAGTGCCTCTATGGGGTCTTTCTGAAATATCCAGAAGGTAATAGCTTTCCAAGGTGTTTAGGCCATCCTGATCTGGTATTTCTTTACACATTAGCTAATAAGTAGTAAATTATTTAAATTTGGGTCTTATTAGATTCTGAGCAAAGAAAGCGTAAGTTAACAGTTTCCTCATCTGAGCTGAAAAGAGATTCCCAAAATGCATTAATGTTTAATGGAGACTAAAAAAAAAAAAAGTTGCTATCAAGTCGATTCCAACTCATGGCAATCCCATGTGTTAGAGAATAGAACTGCTCCATAGAGTTTTCTTGGCTGTAATCTTCACAGAAGTAGATTGCCAGGCCTTTTTTCTATGTTGCTGCTGGGTGTGTTCAAATTGCCAACCTTTAGGTTAGCCTGTCAAAGCACTTGCAATATCCAGAGACCTCAGTGGAGACTAGAGAGAGAATTTTATTAAGCAGGCCCTGTGGTTCAAGGATAATGTTTTTGTTGCTAGATGCTGTCAAGTTAGCTCCGACTCTTGACAACCTTATGTATAACAATGAAGCATTGCCCAATCGTTATGTTTGAGTTCGCTGTTGCAGCTCTCATGTCAGTCCCATCTTATTGAGGGTTTCTCTAGTTTTCGCTGACTCACTATCAAATATGATACCTTTTTCTAGCAATTGGTCTTTATTGATGATGTCCCAAAAAGCGAGCTGAAGTCTCACCATCCTTGCTTGTAAGAAGCATTCTGGTTGTTATTCTTCTAAGACTGATTTGTTTGTTCTTCTGGCAGTGCATGATATATTCAGTATTCTCCAACAAATGCATGAATTCTGTTTTCCTTTTTCATTGTCCAGCTTTTGCATACATATACAGCTACATTGTCAGTGTGAGTCGGAATCCTGAGGGGGTTTGAGCCCTGCACACCATGCCCTTCTAGGACTGACAGCTGCACTTGTCTACGTCCTGTCAATACAGAGATGCGCTCTTGGATGACTTAGGTGTCAGACACATTCTCCCTGGCCCTTTTGTTAAAAGAAGCCCTGTCTCCTGATGCCTAGAGTCAAGTTCTCCCACCTTTTAACTTATTTCCTTACCTGCTGATCTCTTAGAAAGATGAGTCCAAAGTGAGTGAGTGCAAACTGTAGCTTTAAGTTTAATGGATCCGTTTCTGAGTCTCTGGTGGGTGCTTTACCCTTCTGGGAGCCAGAACCTCTAAACACACAGGACCCAGAGTTACAGGGATAAGAAACACAAATTCTCCAAGTGGGTCACAGAGTGATAGCCACTTAATTCCATCTCTTGATTCCTGGAAAAGCAATCCATCTGTATTAGTTATCTATCACTGCATAGCTTATTACCCCAAAACTTCAAAGCTTAAAACAACAAACAGTTCTTGCCTCACAGTTTCTGTGGGTCAGGAATACAGACGCAGCTTAGCCTGAGGTCAGGGTCTCTCATGAGTTTTATTTTTAAGCTGTTGGGCTGAGGCTGCAGTCTTCATTTAAATGCTGGAATGGGGGAAGTCCTTCAAAGCTCACTCATGTTGTTGTTAGGCCTCCTCAGTCCCTTGGCACATGCAGCTGGCCCCAAGTGAGTGATCCAGGAAACAGCACCGAAGACAGAAGTCACAGTCTTTTATAACCTAATCTCAGAAGTGACATCCTTATACTCCTACCATATTCTGTTCATTAAAAGCCAGTCGATAAGTCTACACTCGAGTGACATCGGAGAAGATGATAGAGTAAGAAGCTCTATGAACCTGTCCTTCCACCAAAACAACTATTGAGCTGGCAAGAACTGTCAGAATCAGCAATTTTGGAACTCTGGATTCTAGTGGAACACTTGGAGCATCAAGGGGAGTGTTTGATGAAGAAAGAGATGGTGAATTTTGGCATTTTACATGGCAGCTAGCATCCTCAGTGCCCCAGCCCCAAGGCACATGCCGTGGTTAACATCCGTATTCCTGATGCAGTTTGAATCCTGTGTCCAACCGTCTTCAGAATGTATGGGTACCCCTGTCCCCATGCATGGTCACTTGAGTGAGCAGCCCTAGTCTCTTTGGGAAGGTCTGGGGAACACTGCATATACACTTCCATGGTAGTGCAGGTCCTTCCTCCCAGGGATCTGATTTCTCTAGTCAGTGGTTTATGGGCCCAGAAACAGCACAAATGGTGGACTTTTTA